TCAACTACAGCACATCACTATTGGTCACCTACTGCACAAGCATTCAAGCGTTGAGAAAAATGCCAGGTGCGGCCTTTCTGCTGTTTTTCTACTTTTATTGTTTAAATTTCTTAATTTATTTTATTAATCTATTATTTAAATTTGTTTTMATTTMTTTCTGTTRATACAACATTCTCACARGTAGAAATACCAGCTCTAGCACTTGTTTCCCAGGGTTATGGAACTTATTTGTTACCTCTAGTTTMGCTGAATCATTCCYAGAATCCTYCTCTGCTTAGCTAAWGTAACAGGAGAGAGMAGGGATTTTACAGGGGTAACAARGTCCTTGTTTTATAAGGTTTTACTTGCCTGCAGCACAGCTTTTTTGATTGTGATGAACCTTGTATTTCCTTCCTCGACTCCTTTCTGGTTGGTTTTCAAAGGAAAAAGCTGCTGCAGAATGAGGGGGAAGAGAAGAAGAATCTTCTCAATTTCCTCAAGATTTCTCGCAGTCATGCAGTGTTTTCTGCGGTAAAATGAGCAATGTTCCCCTGGTCCCCCATGTTCTGAGTGCAGAACAGGTGTTTATACCTTCATTACCCCTCCCAGTATCTAAAGGCTGCTGGTTTTTTTTTTTTTTTCCTCTGGGAAGCTGCAGGCAAAGTAGTTACAATTCCAATTTGAAAAACGATGATTTCTCATGTTAAACATCAGACGTGGTGGCAGGAGGGGCTTTCAGAGATCTCCTGTCCAGGCAGCAGCTCGCAGGGCGGTTCCAGCAGCTCCAGATRGAGGCAGCTCTGTTATTTTCTCTTTCAGGAGAGACATTCATCCACCCACAGCCTGTCTGGGGAGAGAGTCCTGCTCTCCCAATTAGCTCCATTATCAGAACTGCAGAATTTTCCTTGCTCAARGTCTTTTTACGGGATTTTATAGCATTAATSCTGGAGCTCTGCTCYRCTGCTGAAGGCTGGGCTGTGCTGTRGGGCAATGCCCTRCCCTGTTCCTTGGCCCAGTTTGAATTGAAAGGGCCAAATTCAGCTGTTCAGGGAGAATGATGCTGGAAATGAGCCCAAAAATGGGCTTGAAATGCTTCATTGCAAAAAGATGGGCCGGTGGTTGACTTGTGGGTGTGGGGTGGGGAGTGTGGCACCCAAACCCATCAGGGTGGGGGTTGAGRTGGGACCTTAAAACCTTAAAGAATAATCATTAAAATCCACATTCAACATACAATTTTACTTAAAACAACAACAAAAAAAATCGACTAAACTAAACAGAAGGAAAAGTTTCCTACACCAAATATCCTAACACAAAACAGAAAAATAATCTACACATAATCCACCCCTAGAATCTTCACTACAATTGCACATATACATCACTATCATATACAACACAAATACATCACTATCACTCTACTTTTGAAACACAGCTGAATATTTGTTTTGCCTATTATATTCACCCAGTTAAAACATTTTCTTCCTTAAAACATCAACTAAGGTTTCCAGCTTTGGGAATGCTCAGGAAGGACTCGGAGGGTGTCTCTGGCAGCTCCAGGCTGTGGGGCTGAGCCAGGGCTCATTTTGTGGCAGGTGGAGAGCGGCCGAGCTCATCCGGAGCGTCCCCCCGGAGCTGCTGCCTCAGCTGAGGGCCAAGGTGGCTGCCATGGAGCTGCTGAAGGGCCACAGGGCTGACATCGGCCTCCAGAGAGCCTGGCAGGGCAACTACATTGCCCTGGTGAGTGCAGGGGAGCGGGCCTTGCGGGGCTGGAAGTGGGGAGATCTGGGAAAACGAGCGCTGGTTTCTGGGGAGAAGTGCTTGGAAATTTCTCTGTAAATGGGTTCAGGTGTGTTCCAAATCTTCACTTCCACTGACCCAGGAGTGATTTTTGTGGATCCTGAGCAGCATTAAAGCGCTGCCATCAGCTGGCTCTGCAAATAGGGGAGCACAGAGCTCACTGGGAGACTGAAATGGGAAATAAATAAAATGGGA